AGGAAAAAGTATATAGAATAGTTTACAATAAAGGGATGGGACAATGACACAGGCTTATATATCATTTGATTGTATCATCTCTGATCCTTGTGTGTTTCCAAATCATTCACTCAACAAAGTATGTTTCCAGGAGCAAGGGATCATGTAAATGTTTAGAACTATCAATATAGTATGATGGGAGAGATTTTAAGGAGGGTTCCATTTCATTTTGAATTGAGAAAGGAATTTCTAGACTTCTAGTAGAAAAACAGCTCAATTTACCTCATTCATGCTTTAAGAACTCCGGATGAAGTGGCTGAGAGACAGATTCCTCACACACATAATAGCATTGTACAATATATTTCAAAGTGAAAAGTTTGGATTAACAGTCATTGGATGATCAATTTTGCTGAAATCCATTACAATCTGTTCATTTCAACAGCTGTGTTTTGGGAGTGGATTATTATTAGTAAATGGTGTGGTTTTGCTTCAGAAAACTCTTTCTCACAGTCCCTTTAATATATTTCAAGAAATAAGTTGGAAACATTTATAAAAATTAATCACCATTTTAAGAAAGCACCTTCAAGATTATCAAGGAATGGAAGACTGAGTTTATCCTCACTAACCCCTCTATTTTTTCAGTTACTTATCTTCATACTTTCTGTTAAGAAGATATATCTTTAGCCATTTTCTGACATAAATAATTTTGAGTAGTCCACAACACCTGTCACACTCGTCCCGGTGCACTCTTGACCTTATATGATGCTGTTTTACTGTTATTACAAGAAAGTGCAACAATCTAAACTTTAGAAAATCAATGCACTAATAAAAAGACAATAAAATAATAACTAGGCTACTAATTTTTTTTTCTGAAAACCACTGACAATCAGAAGTCAGTAAGTTTTTAATTAAAATGATTAGAGCAACCTGGCAATCCTACGTAGGTATGTAAGTCTGGCTTCCATCTCTGTTTTATGTCAATTGAAAGAGAAAAACCAAAATGGGCTTATATGCATAGATGCTAATGAAGCATTCGTTGTTTCTTGCAGGTGAGACTTTCTCTAAACACCATTTTAAGTCCAGTGTATCATAGTGGTAGCCTTTAATATTATTGGCTTTTTCTAAGTCAGCATTTACTCCTTCTAAAAATGAAAATAATAATTTCCTTTTTACATGGTTCTACACATCTCAAAAATTTTCATTCACTATACTCATGATTACTATTACTTCTATAATTATTACCATCTTTTACAAAGATATGATATATTGGAATTTACTTTGAGCTTTTAACAGAGTAAAAACAATGTTGGCTGCATGTGCAAATGATTCAACTTTAAGAAATTAGAACTGAGATAATATTAGTCTTAAAAATTTCCATAAAAAAAAATACCTCTACCTTGAATATATGTTTCAATATTCCACATCACTTTCTGGTTTAGAGAACAGACCAAAAGATTATTATTGGTCAATGATTATTTATTGCAATTCATCATCATGATTTTGAAATGTACATCCTGCTACCTTTTTAATGTAGCCTAGTATGTTGTTGACTATGAAAAATACTTTCATTTAATATGTAAAATACACCTGGAGCAATAAAATAGTGTCCTAAGATTGTCCAAATTGCAAACTGTTGCAGTTTGATTGAAAGTAGAATCTACTATGCTCTGCCTTTCAGTTCAAGGTCACCACTAATTTATTGTAGTGGCATTTGTACCTATTGGGCCTCCACTGTTTCCAGGATGTTGGGAAGAGTCCCATGCAGCAAATAAAATTAATGGAAAGCAATATAGCACCAGCCCTGGCATCAACAGGCAAACAATGTTGAAAGGGTAAAGTCATCAAACTAAAACACCATATTATGGGCATTCAGGAGTTTGAGATGACCTGAAAGTTTCTCACCTGGGATATCCCAAAACGAAATGTGAAGCGCAGAATTATGAGTTAATCTGAGCTGAAGATTCCACTGATAAAAATCACTGGAAACAAGAAGGTAAGTGAATTTCCCCTAGCCCTACACTAATCCAAATGGAGATTCCTAGAAGAATTTAACTTGTTCAACTTCTATAAGATCTTTAGAAGTATTCTTCTTTAACTCCTAATAAGCTCCATATCTCTGGTTTATCCATAATTAAGAGCATTTTAGACAGGACTTATGGATAATATTTTATAACTTTTAGGTATTTTTTCTCTGTTCAGATTTAGTAAGCTGATGAAGAATTACTTAAGAAAAAGGTCACACAGTTTTGAGTGCTTCAGTTTTATATGTATGTTCTTGATAATTATTTTTACAGGACCAAGACTTCTAATGAGGCAAAAGCATGTTTTATGTTTGTAGGAAGATATTTTATTAATAAGTTCAAAGCGATAAGCATGTTCCTTGTATATGGTATGTGCTTCATAAATGACATCTTCCCTGACATTCACCTACTCAACTCAGTAGAACACATTTAAACCCGAATACTCAGTATCCTGAGAGTTCCTATTTAAAAGTAAATAGCACATTATAAGCACAAATCCACACAATTTGAAGTTAAAAGCAAAAGCCCATTGATGGTTTGCAGACTCAAAAAGTTATCTGTTTTGTAGTGACTGGAAGAGGTACCTGTACCCAACCTAGTGCAATGAACCTTGCTATGGATGTCTAACATGGGTTCAACACTGTGAAAATGAGACGCATTTTTCATTCGTATCTTCACCTCTGGATGAAGGCATAAGTTAGAATATTCTCCCAGTGTGGCCTCTGTGCCCGTTCAATTCATTCATCATGATGGCCTATAAACACTAAAAGTAATTACAGGAACAATTTTATGATCTCCACTAGAAGCTATGTGGTATCATGTCTCGGGCCAGACCTTCGTTTACAAAGATGTATAATGTGACATTTCATTTTTCCCCTTAATTTAAAATCACAATAATATCATAGAGATGAGATGACCTTTATAACACTTGGCAAACTTTAACTGTATCTCCCCTTCTTCCGTGTGGTGTGGGTGTGTACGTGTGTGTACTGGTGAGTGAGAGACTGCGTGACTATTTACAGATCTTACATACTAATGCTGCTCTAAGAAAGCCCACCTCAATGAGGACTTTAGAGACCATTAGAAACTTATTTTCACTGTTGGTATTTGTCCTTGAAAATCACTCCTCCTCTATCTCCCCACCAACTAGATAGTAAGGCTACAGTGAAAGGGAAATCCTCTTGTCCTAAACTGGTATTTTTAATTTGCTCACAGAATTACAGCTCTCCACGATTTTTCTAAACTCCATTACTGCTAGTATATTGTTAATGATGCAAGCAGTCCATTGTGAATTGGCCTTTGTGAAACCATGCATCACTACAGACCACTACTTAACGTTCTGCACAAAATGTAGGGGGTGACTTTAAGAATTCACTTCATTCTTCAGTTTGCAAGCCCTGTGTATTGACAGAAAAGGTCTTACTCAGGAAATGAAAAGATAGCACCCACAGAGAGGTGCTTGTCTTTCATGCTAGCGAAGTGGGGTTTCTAAACAAATTTTAGCCCTCAAAATATTAGTTGTTTACCTATCTCCCCACCTTTCTCTTCACTCATGCAATAGAGTAGGCAAATCACCGTGAGAGTTAAGGATGTTCAAAAAATGTACAGAAAAATTATCAAATGCTGGTCTAACAGTTAAGAAATGGCAGAGCATGCTTTTAAACTGAAATTTATCTCACTCTCTCTTTTGACTTAGCACCTTACTGCCAGAAAAAAAAAAAAAATCTGGTCACGCATAACACCAAACATTCGCAGTAATGTACTTGTTTATGCAGAAATGTGCAAAAATTTATATCCACATTGAAGTGAAAACTGGCCTCAAGCACCTTGTATTTTACAGTAGTATTTTCTGAGATTTACTTATACTGTGGGTAACTAAGTGGATGAACCACCCTGAGCATAAATTATCCACCCATGCCTCCTCCCTTAGTAGTAAAGCCTCATCCTTATAACAGTGACCAAAGTAGCCAAATAAAAATGATAAATTATTGAATCAGCATATCATCTTTTAAATTTATTTCCAAACTTTCAAGGAGCTTGCATCTTAGGGGATGTTAAAAGTAAATATTAAAGTTTCTAAGGTGGCTGTAAAAACAAACTTGGATCATGCCCCTCAATTCAAGGCTACTTAAATTTTCCTTTTGATATTTCCCTATTCCCTGCTTTCGTACTCTACCCACAGGGTCCCCATACACTTCTGTAGTAGCCGAGTCAATGAGAACATCCCAGAAGATAATGGATTTCATTAAGAGTAAGGTTTTCTCTCCTGAGCACCATCTCTAACTCTTCTGATAAGTGCTCTCTAGATAGCTCTCACTACAGAGCAGTGGCTTAGTAGTAAGAGTTTCTGAAAAGGTAGGAAAATGAGGTTTTTAAGTACAAACCTCAGTATTCAATTCCTAGCTCCTTATTCTGAAACTCTTGAAATTCACTTTTTCAAAAATGGTAGCACACCCTTTGCTTCAAATTTCCTATTAGTCCCTTTGACACTGCATAGGAAAAGTTAAACCAAAGCTCACAGTGGCCTCACTTTCCAAGTCAGCTGTAAAAGTGAGAAGGCACAGCTGATAGGCACCAGTAGCACTGGGGAATTTTAAATGCCATGTACGCCTTCTCTTGTTGGTAAGGACAGTGTGCTCCTTTTACGAGAACTCTAACATGCTCCAAACCCTCAGCGATGCCTGTGACTCATGCCTCTTCGGGGTCTCAGAGAACCCCTCAGGTTAGGTCAGTCAGGTAAGCAGGTCTCCAGCACAATTCAAAAGTGACAGAACACAGTGTAACAATCCTTGCTAATCCATTGAATGCATAAATCAGGACTCTAGAAACAAAATCACCGACTGATAATAAAATCGAGACCCATAACAACGCTTGACTATATAGCAAGAATTACTTCTGCGAAATAGTTTCTTATCATAAAGCACTTTCGTTTTTAATTTATAAAATTCTTTTTAAGCATAAGCAAAAAGGACTAAACATAAAGAAATTTATTTGCATTACCTTCTTCTGGTCTTCTAGCTTGTGACTCACTAGATTCTTCCCATGTCTGTTCATTTCTGAAGATAAATCCATCACATTAGGTTCTTGCCCTTCAAAATGCAATCTCTTCAGAAAAGCAGCAAACTAATCCAAGATGCAATCACAGGAAAACAGCGGCATACCACATTTCCCATCACACACTATCTCAGAACTTCATCGACTCCAAGTAATGATCAAAAAATCCATTGATTGAATGAAAAAAATAAAGTTTGCAATTTCCTCCCAGGACCTTCCAAATCAGCATATCGTTGACTTCTCAAAAGTGAAATTTTCATCCAGGAATGTTAAATCCAACTGCTATCTTTTTCTTTCTTCACGATTTCCCATTTTAATAGAAAAATTTACAGAGTTCCTGTAAACCTGTGATTAAAACAAAAAATAAGCACATAGTTATACCCTTCATACAATATAGTACAATGAGTAAAATAAATTCCCATCTGAAATTTCAAATTAGACACTAATTTTAGATGTGAGTATTTGAATTAAAAATGGTAGAATTGAAAGGAATAATTTTTTACCATACAGCATTTAAAATAGCAATTTTATGCATAACCAAAACAGTGTATGAAAATAAGGATCTGTCACACATTAGCAAGGCATTCACACACCTATCAAATCCATGCATTCCACTGTTATCTTCACTAACTTATTGTTTTAAGAAAAGAAAACTGAGGTGTGTAAATTTTTGCAAGTCAACTACCTAATTATTAACAGAATTATAATTAGAATTTTGATCATTATTTCTGCAGGCCTGGCAACCTCTCTGCGTACTAGACTCACCTAAGTGCCTTCCCAAATGCAGATGCTTGCATTCCTCCCATAGAGGCCATACTTTAGAACTAATGCCCCAGTGTGAAAATTCCCTTTCAATAATTGACCAGTCACAACCTGGATATGCCGAACAAGAGGAAACATGGCCTCAGAAGGCTGTCCTTCTCCTATTGAGGCAGTTCTAGTTTTAAGATCTTCTGAATTTGAAGATAAAGCCTGCAATTCTGCACTTCTGTTACTTGTTATAATTTATAACCTTTACAGATATCAATGCACACAGAATAGGTTTCATTTCTCTTTTATATGATAGTTCTTCAAGCATCACTCTACCCAAAATAAACGTCCTTCAAAAATTCTTCACCTCACTGGTTACATCCTTCAAATGAGGCTACCCTGTGCACGCTGCTCATAAGTGCAAGGGTCCGTCACAGATTGTTCCATTTAGAAACTCACCACCAGATCCCCACAACACATGCCAACTCAGGCATAAAATAAATGATAACGTAGACAGCCACACTTCGAAACATCAGCTTCCAAATGGCTGTTAACACCTCCCCATATGCTGTTTCATGCCTGGCACCCGTTTGCCAGCGCACGCTTGTTTTTCAATCGCTCTGCTCTGCCATGCAGATATTTGAGCTGTATGTAGTCGTGAATGTTACCACCACAGTAAACAACATGGGCAAGAGCTTTGACATGAGAGAGAACATGGCCAACTTGGGGAACTGAAAGAATTCCAAGGAAGAGCCACTGAAGACTTTTAAGAAGGCATGCAGCATAAATGGGTTTGTGATTTTAAAAGTTCATCTAAACAGCAATATGGAAAATCAGAAAGATCCAAGCATGTGACAGAGGAACCTAGTCAGCATTTCTGAGCAAGTGAAGGCATAGACAATAGCATCCTGAACTAGCAGCAGAGCTGATAAGACTGAGGCGTCATAAAACCAAAACATTATTTAAAAGGTAGAGTTGATAGAACTGGTAACTGAGTCTGAGATGCATGATTTAAGGGTGTACGAGCATACAAGTGAAATCCTTACTTAAGATAGCATACTCGTGATAGAACCACATTGAACAAAAGAAGTAAAAGAGTTTGTAAAACAAACAAAAATATTTGCTAAGTACTTCAAGCTTTAAAAGAAAATTACAGACTTATCTCACTAGTGGATATAGATGAAAAATCCCAAACAAACATTAGCAAACAGAATCCAGTGATGTAAAAATGAATAATACATCAATTCCAAGTTGATTTTACTCCAGGAATAAAAGATTGGTTTAAGATTTGAAAGTAAATCTGGATAATTCACCACATAAACGAAATAAGGAAGAAAAATGATAGGCTCATCTCAAATGGTGCAGAAATATGATTTGATAAATTATGCATTGACTGATGACCAAAAATGATTTGTTGGCAAATGAAGAATAAAAGAAGATATTTCCATAATGTCCCTTGATCTGAAAAAGCATATTCACAAAAAGAAAGCATCGTGCATACCGGTGAAAAGTAAAAACACTTTCCGTATGATCACCGACAACACATGAATATCGGCTGACCGTTCATTCTATCCCACCTTGTATTTCAAGTCCTAGCCGTGCATTGAGACAACAAAATATGAGGTTATGGAAAGGAGGGGAGAGAGATGACTAGAGGCAGCAAGCAGTAGAAAGGCATATATAAAATTTACTATTTGTAAACGTTGTGATGATCTGCATAGAAGATAGTAAAGAATCCAAAAATAAATGGCTAGCATTAATGAACGAGGTCAGCAAGGCTTTACTGGACATAAAGTCACTGTAGAAAAAATCCTCTGTGTGCCCAAGCTACAAACACATAGAAAATGCAAATTTAAAAGGATACAATTTATAGTGGTGTAAAAAATAGAAAATACCCGGGAATAAATACGACAAGAGTTAGTAATAATATGATGAAACAGTAAAACAGCACCAAAGGAAAATGAGGAGAGGACTGTTCACAAATTAGAAAACTGAATGCTTTAGAGATGGCAACTCTTGCCTAAAGTATTTATAAACTTAGTGCACTGCCGGGGCTGGGGATTTAGCTCAGCGGCAAAAGCGCCTGCCTGGCAAGCTCAAGGTCGTGAGTTCGGTTCCTGGTACCGGAGAAAAACCCAAAAACTTAGTGCACTGCCGATAACCCTCAAGTTTTCATTTATAACTTGAGAAAAAATGTCTAAAATGTAATATACATAAATGTCAAAGGCCAAACCAGGAGTGGTGACACATGCCTGTAACCCCAGCACTTGGGATGCTCAGGCAGGAGGATCATTGCAAGTTTGAGGCCAGCCTAGGCTACAAAGTGAGTTCAAGACCAGCCTGAACTGCATAGGGAGACCCTGTCTCAAAAAGACAAAAAAATAAATAAATAAAGTCAAAGGCCAATCTAATACAAGACACCAATAAAGAATAACAAATTGCTACATGCTCTGCCAAACTTTAAGCCATATTTGAAATCAGCAGTAAATAAATGGCATATAACTGATGCAGTGATAGACATACAAGCCCGTAGAACATAGAAATCCCTACAAAAATGGACCACTTGACTTATAACCAAAGTGGAATTACAAAGCCATAGGGAAAGTCTTTTCCATGAGTGCTGGATATCCACAGGGATGAACAGTTAAAGTACTTCACACCAATAATCAGTCTCCAGAGGATTAGAGACCTGCATGTGAAAGAACAGTAAACTTCTGGGAGAATGCCTGTGTGATGTGAGAGTTGGAAAAGATGTCTTGCACCAGAGTACAATAGCCCTGAACATTAAACAATGATTGAGCACAATCAAAATCAGCATTTTTATTCATTAAACTCTACCCATGAGAAAATATGAGTGGAATCTATGAGGAGGGAAAAGTATTTAAAATATGTATATGCGTAAGACATATGAAAATCAGTAAAAAAAAAAGAAATGACAATGTACAAAAATATTTGTACGTAAGTTTAACTGATGAACCTCACTTTTTAGCAGGCACTACTCCTTTTTAAATTTGCAGACTAACCATTTGATTATGGCACAGTTTTGCCTGAGCACAATGTTATACTTGCCAATGATAGAGTTTTTCAAATGTTGCAAAAAGCACTTATATCCTAGTTTCCCATAGACTTTCCATACTCTTTAGAGTAGTAAATAGTGAGATATTACAAATTATTGACCATACCTTTCACATGCCTTTCTTTATGATAATATGCACAATATTTTTTCAAAATATCATTAGTACTCAAATTATTCAAGTTTATCCACCTCATCTAATATCATTCTTCAGTGCTAAAGGGCATATAGAAGCCATAGAGTATTTAGTGCCTAATTGTGTTTAGCAAAGTACAGGTCCACAATGGTCAAATTTTAAATCCCAGCCCTAGTCCTTTGAGAGCCTGCAGGTCAGGGGGGAGTTATATGCAACTGAGAAGAGTGCCTCGCGCTTTTCAACATTATCAATTTCAAAGCCTGAGAACACCAATGAGTTAACACTGACAATAAAGGGCAATCATGTGGAATTAATAAATTGATTGTGCACATAAGTATTAATTTGAATAGATTTTAGTTCATCTTAAATCACAAATCAAATATGACATTCTTTCTTCTGTGGAAAAGAATTAGATAAAACTGTAAAGCAGCTTTAAAAAGTATAATTATGCACATGAAGAAGATTTTGAAAAGCTGCTCATTCATATGAAGGTAACTGTTAATATGTCATATTAATTCTCCATCACTCTTATTTAAGATGATGCAGTGGTTGAAATTGATAGCAAAATCCCATCACTTTAAGAGTAAGTAGAGTAATTCTGCTTCTACATTTTTTGTTTTGTTTTCTTTTTTTCCAGTACCGGGAATCAAACTCATGACCTCGCGCTTGCCAGGCAAGCACTATGCAGCTGAGCTAAATCCCCAGCCCCCTTCTACATTTTAAAAGACTTTCTCGAGCAGGGCATGGGGCACATGCCTGTGACCCCAGTGCTCTAGAGGCCGACAGGAGAATGGAAAGTTCAAGTCCAGCCCGAGCAACTCCGTGACTTAGGGAGATCATTCTCAAAATTAGAAAATAAAATGGGACTGGGATATAGCTCAGTGTGAAGGCTTTGGTTTTAATTCCTAGCATGACAAGTGAAAGAAAAAGAAAAGTATCTTTCCACAGTGCTCAGACTCACCCGGGATTCTCTCACTCATAGTAAGCATAAAAAAATATTTTTAAAGTGAGTTTTTGGAAAGATATTTGATGATCATTTTGTTGACTGATTGAGTTACATATGGCTGCCCAGCTCAGCCTCTGACAGGGTACCATGAGGACCCTGTCAGGGTGATTCCCTGCAGTCCAGGAGATTTAGTGCCTAGGGCAGGGTGAAGTGGCCTGTGGTTGCAGGGCAGAGTAGTATAATTAAGAAGTAAATTGTGGGTCTGTCTGATCTTAGATCAAAGACATGAAATCTCAGAGATAAGATACAGAGTTTGAGGGAAAAATGTTTTATTAAGTTCATTTAATAAAAGAGATATAAATCAAAAGAATAATTTGCAAGCTAATGATTCTCCTGCTGGAGTAAGTTGTTGGGACTCCCGGGGAAGAGACACTGAGACT